CATGGTGCATCATATGGGTTTTGGCCCAACTAGATAATCCATGGAGCATTAGCCCACTATATACGTATGGATGATTTGCACAATCAACCCATATATTTAATTAGTCTTCTTTTGATCACTTAATTAATCATAGATTAATTCTTGATCAATACTAATTAAATAATCTTATTATTCTTATTATTAATATACTAGAACTTATAATATATTAATAACCATAAGTGTCTTATTTCTCTCATTATAGTCTATCCAAGTGCATGATGCCATGCAACCCAAATGGACCATGCCGGGTCGGGTCAAGTCTTACCAATTATAGTTATGGACTTAGACATTAATCTAACACTTGTTTGGGTGAAGGCGTGACCGTACACATCCTCGCGTTTTGGACTTATGATTCTGAGAAACTCTGATAATGTGAATGTTTGAAAACTATGTTTAAAGAGATTCTGATTTTTAAATAATGTTTTTGGGAACAATTGTTTTTTAAACACTTCTATAGAAAAAGGGTTATTTTGAAAAGTTTAAATTTTATGAAAATTTATGGATGTTACATTAACTCCCTTCTCCTCTCTCCTCTTTCATCCTCTTGGGTGTGTTGGGTGTGAACCACTAGATACACGACATTTGTGGTGCTTGCTCTTAAGGCTTCAACCTTATCAAATTATAGTTATATCCATAAGAAAGTAGGAGTCCTATGGTAAAATCCCTTATCAAACTGAAAAGAACCCAAATGTCAATGTGGTGACCTTGAGAAGTGGCAAACAAACCGGAGAGAGTAGTTCAAAGAAGAATCCAAGGGATGAAGAGGAAGAAATAGAAGTTATTCCCATTGAAGAATCTATAGTTAAGGACGATGCACAAGCTAGAGTCCCAAGTAAGACTACCCATCTAGTAACTCCAATAGCCACCCAACCGTTGTTCCCCACTCGACTTGCAACTTCAAAGAAGAAAATGGAGGAGAAAGAGATTTTGGACACCTTTCGAAAGGTGGAAGTAAATATCACTTTACTTGATGCAATCAAGCAAATCCCTAGGTATGCAAAGTTTTTGAAAGATCTTTATACCAACAAGAGGAAGTTCAAGGGAAATGAGAAAATTTCTATGAATGAAAACTCATCCGTGGTTTTACAAAGGAAGCTTCCACCTAAGTGTAAAGATCCGGGAATGTTTACGGTTCCTTGAAAGATAGGAGATGTCACTTTTCGTAGTGCCATGATTGACCTTGGTGCTTCTATTAATGTCATGCCATATTCGGTGTATGAATCATTGGATGTTGGTCCTTTATGTGAAACCGGTGTCATAATCTCTCTTGCGGATAAGTCAAGTGTCTTTGGTAGATGTGTTCTGGAAGATGTCCTAGTATAAGTAAACCAATTGGTCTTCCCGGCGGATTTCTATGTGATTGATCTAGATGAACAAGTGTCCTCAAAGTTGGGTATAATTCTATTTGGGAGGCCATTTTTGAAGACAGCTAGAACAAAGATTGATGTGTATGTGGGAAACATAACGTTGGAGTTTAATGGGGAGACAATAAGTTTTAACATCTACGATGCTATGAGATATCCTAGTTGTGTTTCATCTTTGTGCTTTGTTGATGTTATTGAACCATTAACCCAAGAGTTGTTCGAGTTGTCTAATGGTGACATGTTGGAGATGGTTTTGAGAAAAGGACTTGATTGTGGAAAATTAGTCAAGAAGTTGAAGCTCTACTCACTAGACCCCGAAGTTGAAAGATTGGTTAACAATTTGGAGATCAAGAAAACCACTCAATTCAGTGTGAAGCAAATTGAATTACCTCAAACTCACACGAGATTGCCACCCTTCCTTGTTCAACCACCAGAACTAGAATTGAAGGTCCTTCCTCAACATTTGAAGTATGCGTGCTTGGTAAACAACGAGACTCTTCCAGTCATCATTTTAGCTCACTTAATCGAATTCGAAGAAGAGCAACTTCTCAAGGTGTTAAAGGAGCATAAAGAAGCCATGGGTTGAACGATTGCGGATATCAAAGGATTGAGTCCCTCCACTTGTATGCACAAGATCTAGATAGAGGATGAATGCAAGCCGAGTCGAGACGTGCAAAGAAGGTTGAACCCACCAATGATGGAAGTGATCAAGAAAGAGAATTTGAAGCTCCTTGATGCGGGGATGATCTATCCGATCTCTGATAGTAATTGGGTGAGCCTGGTGCAAGTCGTTCCAAAGAAGACGGGAATCACGGTGGTCGAGAACAACAAAGGTATGATGGCCTCCACCCGTGTGCAAAACGGGTGGAAAGTATATATTGACTACCGCAAACTCAATGCAAGAACACGAAAAAATCATTTCCCATTACCATTCATTGACCAAATGTTAGAAAGGATGGCCAGGAATCCCATTATTATTATCTAGACGGGTACCCCGGTTTTCACCAAATCCAGGTGGCACCGGAAGACCAAGAAAAGACAACAGTTACATGTCCATTTGGCACTTTTGCATACCGGAGAATGTCATTCGGATTATTTAACACCCCGGCCACCTTCCAACGTTGCATGGTTAGTATCTTTTCAGAGTATGTTGAAAATATCATTGAAGTTTTCTTGGAGGATTTTACGGTATATGGAAGCTCCTTTCAAGTGTGTTTGACCAATGTCACCAAAATTTTGAAAAGATGTATTGAAACAAATTTGGTTTTTAATTTTAAAAAATGTAATTTTATGGTGAGTCAAGGTCTTATTTTGGGTCACATTGTGTCAAAGAAAGCAATTGAGGTAGATAAGGTAAAGATTGATGTTATTCAAAGCTTACCCTACCCAACTTGTGTTTGGGAAGTTCGTTCTTTTTTGAGCCATGCAGGTTTCTACCGGAGATTCATCAAGGAATTTTCAAAGATAACAAGACCAATGTGTCAACTCTTGCAAAAGGATGTCGATTTCAAATTCAATAAGGCGTGCAAAGAAGCTTTCGACAAGCTCAAAGAGTTGCTTACATCCGCTCCCATCATGCATGCACCAAATTGGGATCTCCCCTTTGAGATCATGTGTGATGCAAGCAACTATGCAAGAGGCGCTGTTTTGGGTCAAAAGAATGGACAAGTCTCCCATTTGATCTACTATGCATAAAGAACACTAGACAATTCTCAAAGCAACTACTCTACCATGGAGAAGGAGCTATTTGCCATAATGTTCACTTTGGAGAAGTTTACGCAATATCTACTTGGCACCAAAGTTATTGTGTATTCAGATCACGCAGCTCTCAAGTACTTAACGACAATGAAAGATGCAAAGTCGTGACTCATCCGATGGATTTTACTGTTGCAAGAATTTGATTTGGAAACCTGGGACAAGAGTGGATGCGAGAATCTTGTTGTCGATCACCTAAGCCAGATCAATTCAAATGAGACTCCTCTCCCGTTGCGGGATGAGTTTCCGAATGAGCATCTCTTTTCCCTTATTCAATATACTCCATGGTATGTCGATATCATTGACTTTCTGGTCACAAAAAGGTATCCAGACACATTCTCACTTGCTCAAAAAGACAAGCTCAAAAGTGATGCAAGATACTATGTGTGGGATGAACCTTACATGTGGAAACATTGTCCCGATCAAATCATTAGGCGATGTGTACCCCCAACAAGAGCATCAATCCATTTTGCAATTTTGTCATGAATTTGATTATGGGGGACACTTCGGACCTAGTTGGACCTTGAGAAAGGTCCTTGAGTGTGGACTATTTTGGCCAACCATGTCACGCGACTGTTACTTGTTTTGCAAAAGTTGTGAATGGTGCCAAAGGATTGGAAACATTTCATAAAAAAATCAAATACCACAAAATCCAATCCTTTTTTGTGAAATTTTTGAGGTATGGGGGATTGATTTCATGGGCCCATTTCCCGTTTCATTTGGAAACATTTACATCTTGCTCGCGGTTGACTATGTTTCTAACTGGGTTGAGGCTAAAGCCACAAGATCGGATGATGCCAAAAAAGTTATCAACTTTTTAAAATCTAATGTCTTTGTGAGGTTTGGTGTGCCTAGGGAATTGATCAGTGACTGAGGAATGCACTTCTACAACAAGATGATGGAGACTTTATTGAAGAAGTACAACGTGACCCATCGTGTTTCAACCGCCTACCACCCTCAAACAAACGGTCAAGCGGAAGTTTCAAATCTTGAGGGGAAGAGTATACTTGAGAAAACGGTAAATCCATCAAGGAAATATTGGAGTTTGAGGCTGAATGATGCCTTGTGGGCCTATCAGACTGTGTATAAGACCCTGATAGGAATGTCTCCATTTAGGCTAGTTTTTGGAAAACTATGTCATCTTCCCATGGAATTGGAACACCGTGCATTTTGGGCGGTCAAGCAATGCAACTTCAACATCGATGAGGACGGAAGGCATAGGAAGCTTCAACGTAAAGAGTTGGAGGACTTATGAAATGAATCCTATGATAACTCAAGAATTTACAAGGAGAAAACGAAGCTTTTCGATGACAGGTCCATTACACGCAAGCATTTTGAGCTGGAACATAAGGTTTTGCTTTACCACTCGAGATTGAATTATTTCCCGAAAAGTTGAGGTCAAGATGGATAGGTCCATTTGTTTTACTAAAAGTCTTTGAGCACAGAGCGGTTGAGATCCAAAGTGAAGAAACGGGGAAAATATTTAAGGTCAATAGGCATCGTTTGAAACCTTTCTATGAAGGTTTCAACGCGAATGTCCTAGATGTCATCCAATTGGATGCCCCGGTATACTGAATTCAAAAGGGAAGGACGTCTTGCCAAAGACGCTAAAGAAGGGCATTTTTGGAAATTTTAAAATTTTCATCATTTCTAATCCCGAATAAAATGTCTTAGATAGATCATTTTTGCATTTAGCATTTCTTCTTCTTCCTTCTTGCAGTACAAAAGTATTGGATTTTAAGGCCCGGTGTTCGTTTTGGTCAAAGGACGAAAATTGAGGAAATTACAGCATGTCACATGCGTACCGCGTGTACTCAGGGGCCTGTCCGCGTTAATAAACAAATGGTCCGCGTATGGTCCCAAAAGTGTCTGCGTCCAACACCAAATGAAGACGATTACAGAGAACTTCCACGGACCGCGTGTAGTTACAAGAACATCTGCGTGAATAAGAAAACGGACCACGTGTATTCTCTTAATCACCCGCGTGTGGCGAATGGAGAACTGATAGTTCTAGGCGTATTCACGCGGACCGCGTGTACTTGGGGCCGCGTCCGCGTGACTTATTGACTATTGTTGACTCAGGTTTGACCATGACTTAACCCAATAAAATACCGTAGCTGACCCTTTTCTTCCCTTCTTCTTCTTCTTCTTCTACTTCTCCTCCCTAAATCCATTAAAACACCTCCATCCCCACCACCAAAACTCAATCTCTACAAACCCCATCCAAATTCCAGTCTGATCCGTTGCTGTAATTTCGGGCACCACCACCACCATCTCGCCATATTCCAGCTGTTTTCCAGCCAACTTCGGCCATCTCTCGCGATTCCGACACCACCATTGTGCTCTTCTTGGTCAAAGCTACAAACCCTACTAAAAATATCTCTAAAAGCTCACCAGAAAATTTCACCGGAATCCCAAGCCGTTGCGGATTTCTTGGGTTTTCATGGTAAAGTTTTTCTCACGGGATGTTGAACAAAGCTTAAAGCTTGGGGTGGGGAGTTGCAAGATTTTCAAATCCTGAATTTTCACGTGTAAAATCTCATGGGTACATTTTTTTATTGACTTTAATTGACCAAGATACTAGTTTCAGCACAACAACTTATATGGCATCACATCATTTGATTCTTGATAATGTTCCTTGCATTGAGTGTTGAATCGTTTTAGAAGTCCATAGGGAGTCGATTGGTGATTGAAATTGAAATACCGTTTGTTTGGATTGTGGTTCGTGTTGTTATATTTTTTCTTGCAGGTACACTATGTCCACGTCTAGAAACGCCCGGCTGCCGCCAGAGGCAAAGCCCCAACTAGAAATCAAAATGATGCACCCGACATTCCAAGATTTCGGGATGCCAAGGCAGCTGAAAACTACATGAAAAGCCTACCTAGAAAGGTTGCATCCACCAAATTTATGTGCAAATCCACGCTTATATCATTAGGGGTTCTTGAAGGGGTCCACCAATTCTTCCGTAACATCGGGTGGGAAAACCTTCTCAATCTCATGGCACACACTTACAAGCTACCCACTAGAGAGTTTCTTGTCGATTGTGGGTTAGATAACGAAAAGAAAAAATTTGCATTCCAACTTCTAGGGGACCGAAGGTACATTGATTTTGCAGCAATAAATGACATATTGGGCTTGCCTTATTCAAACACATCCACGGTTTTCGACGTCTTACCTGTCGAGTTCAACCATGTGACCTTTTGGATAGAAATCATCGGAGGCATCTTTTCATGTGCCGGTCGGGATAAAGCAACCTCCATCATTCACCCGTGCCTCCGTATTGCCCATCGCATCTTGGTGTGCACCGTCTTTGCCCATAAAGAAGCCAGAAAGGTCACCAAAATGAACTCCTTTTCCTTTACTGCATGACACGACATGAAAACCCACCAATCCCGGACTTTGTTTCATTCTTTTTCTATAAATGCGCACTTATGAGAACCAAAGTGTCCGGTGATATTTGCATCGGTGGTTTTGTCACCCTTTTAGCCTGTGGTCTTGACATCGAACTTCCAGACGAATACCAACGTGTTGACAATAAAACTCTTTTGGATGAGCATGCTCTCAAAAACATGCACCACATCCGTCGCCGGAGCAGGAACAATTTCACATGGTATTATCCTCAAGGGGTTGGATATCTTGTTCTCCCCGACCCTCTAGTCTCCAACTTCATTACCCACGATCTCACTCAGTGGAGACTCGCGAGGACCATCACTCAGTTAGTCAATGACGATGTGTTCCAGGCTCAAGATGACATTGAGATGCATGCATATGAGGAGTCCGGTGATGAGCCCACCCATGGTCCATAGCAAGCCCAACCCCAAGCACCTCCCAGATACTACCCGCTTCCCCCCAATTTTGCCGAATGATTTGAGACTCTTTGTGTCTCCAACCAAATCATGTCCCAGCAGTTGCACCATATGTGGGGGTGGCACCAATCACAAAACCATTTTGAGAACATCCCACTTCCTCCTCCCTATCCATACCCTCCACCCACCCACCCTTATCCACCTCCACCTTACCCATACCCTTACTGCCAATACCCATACCCTCCTTTAGATCCCCCGGTTTAGGTACTTTTGCCTCGCCCCAAGCATTGAGGACATTGCTTATTTCTATGCTTGGGGTGGGGTATTCCATTTTCTTTTTGATTTATCATGCATTTTAATTAGGTTGCATAGCATTTTAACCTCAAATTGCATTCATTTTTTATATATCAAACTCCAAAAAGATTTTGTTTTCTTCTTTTTCCCTTTTTATTTTTGCATCACGTTTAGCTTATGACATAAACATTCATGCACTTTTGTTATCTCTTTATTCTTATCTCCGAACATCTTTACTTGAAAAACACGACACACCTTATACACAATTCTTTTGGAAACTCACATAACAAATAAAAATCACTCTTGGGGACCTTTAGTTGTTGCTTCTTCTCTTATATATGCGTGGGGAGAGAGTGCAAGTAGTTATGCATATGAACCGTCATATGTCAAGTGTGGCATAAGTAAGGGAACAACTTAGCCTCGAGCCGACTAGTCCCTCACTTGAATTTTCCTCACAAGTCACAATCAAAACCCAAAGAAAGGAATAAAAGCTAGATTTTTCTATTTTGAGATCTTTAGTGTCTAAATATTACAATTCACATCATATCTCGTTACTTTATGATTTAGACACATTTTTTCACTCGATCTCGAATTAGCCTTAGTGTGGTTGTGCTTGTTTGGCCTCTTGTTTGGGTTAGACTTAGATTCTGCTTATAGTTGTATATAGTTATGTTTGTTTTTTATTTTCGGGTTATTCTTGTACAACTCCCATGGTAAACCAAAAAAGTGAGCCAAAAGAGAGAGAGAGAGAGAGAGAGAGAGAGAGAGAGGGAGAGAGAGAGAGATAGAGAGAGAGAGAGAGAACTACTCCTTTTTTCCTGTTTTGTTTTGTGTGTGTGTGTGAGAGAGAGAGAGAGATAGAGAGAGAGAGAGAGAGAACTACCCCTTTTTTCCTGTTTTGTTTTGTTTTGTGAGTCAAAAGTAAATTGTTTTAAAAAATTGCATCAATTTACCAAAAATTTCAATAAAGTGTAGTAATCAGTTTGTGTACATGAAATTTCGTATGTAACCAACTTGTTTGGAGAAGTCAAAATTTGATCTTTTCTGAAATTTGAACATTATGTTTGCTGGTTCTAGTCTTCAGAAGATAATATATATAAAAAAAGGTTTTAAAAAGTCGGATATTATCGTAATCATAAAATGCGAATGTAATTATATATTGTTTTAGTGCTTTCCTCTTTGCGTCTTAATATATTGTATTTGTAACATTTCTTTAGGGTTTTGTTGTCCAAAAAAAAGTTACAAAAAAAGAGAAAAAAATAATAATAAAATGGTCGGGCCACGGAGTTGTATCCATTTGTTTGCTTTTGTAAATGTTTAGTTTTTCGGATTCTAGCACATGTAATTAGTTTCTAGTTTGATGTTCTTCTAGTTAGATATCATTTTTTGTTGGAAACTATGATGATCCCTTTTCTCATCGTGTGCTCCATTTTTCACTTTATATGATCTTGTTTTTGGTGGAAGCACTTATTCTTCTAGATGATGATGGTTTGCCAACCTTTGTACATAGCTCGTTCTTTGCCATTTTTGGCCCGAGTTATCTTTTTGCTTGGTTTTATTTCTTGGCGTGGGGTGGAAGTTGTGAGGAGTGAGGAACATTCTAACCGAGGGACACTTTCTTATGACTAGTGGGCTAGATCAGATCACGAAACAATGTCACATAAACCCTACTAGTGAAGTATGCATGCTCGTTTTGCATCTTGATCAGCATGTATACCTTGCTAGAAAGGTAATAAAGGCTCGTCCCTCAAAGCGATTCTTATCCCTAAAAATGGATTATATATCTTTATTTTAAGGGTGTGTCATGAATTTCCACCTAAGATGTTCATTCTTTTTTTTTCTAGGATAGTTTATCCCAAGTTCATTTTAGTCTTGTCTTACTTGAGGACAAGTAATGATTAATCTTGGGGTGATTTCGTTTTTACTACTTCTTTTCATAGTTTGTTTTTAGTTAAAACCATATCATGTTAGTTAATCTTCATGCATATTTTCTCTTTTTATTATTTTTCTCCTTTATCGGGTGCTTTCCAGTCTTTTAAGCTTATTTGCAGGATTTTTCAAATACTTTTTATTATTGGAGGCGTGGAAGGAATGCGGGACTGCTTGAGGCTTGCAATTTGTTTATGGACTTGAAGTGGTGCAAATGGGCTTGGTGTCAACATGATCAAGAAAGCATATCAGACTTAAATTTCGGGCGGGACGACGAGAATTCGAGCTATAGAAGACTAAAGGAGCATTAGAGCATCTTGGAAAGGATTTGGATTTCCACACTTGGGTTATCAAGAATTTTTACAAATGGGCTGGAGCATAAATTAGAAGTTTGGGTTGGATGGTACTTATAAATGGACCAAAGGATGATTGCATCATGACCCACACGGTCCATGTGGATCCACACACCGCGTGAATAATGGAGAATTGAATTCGGGTTTGACTTGTTGACTCTATTTATGGAAGGTTGGTGGATGGCTTTTGGCACCTTTTTAAATCTGGAAATGAGCCCCTTTTTGCTAGATATTGGAGGCATTATTCTCATCCAAAACTTGAAGGAATAACACTTTTTTGCTCTCTGGAAGATTTGAAGATTTAGAAGCTTGGAGCATTTTTTCTTCCAACTTGCCTCTTGAACAATGTTTGGTATCACTAATCTACTTTTTATTTCTCTTATTTTAGCCATGCTTGGCTAGATTTTAATTTGGTTGACTTTGATGTAATTGCTTGAATGTTTTGGTTATTTTGAAGAACTCCATGAACTTGTGTTGAATATATATGATTATATTTTCTATGAAAACTTCCTTAATGTTTATATATCTCTAGTCATAAATATTGATATGTGAATGTTATTTTTGTTGCTTAAATTCTTGGCTAAGTAATGGGTCTTCAGTTAACAAGAAATAATTAGTTTAAATGTTTGTTTTCATTTCATTTAGACTAAGAAAATATTTTCTCCATAGTGGTAATGAAAGCAATAGATTACTCTTTGGATTTGGTGACTCTTAAAGCCTAATGCTAATTGAATTTCACAAAATTACATGCTTCATTAGTTTTCTGACTTTGATTTAGGAAATGTGCTATGAACTTCTCTAGTCATTTTAATACAAAAGAAGAGTTGAGCTAAGTTATGTTTAAAGACAAACTCTTATTTTTGTTGAAATTTTGTATTTAAATCTTAGTTTAATTCTAGTTTATTTCAAGTATTTCAAAAGACCAATCCCCCCCCCCCCCCCCCATTTTTTGTTTATTGTCATTTTACAAGTATTTTACAAAGAGATTTTTCATAGAGTTATAAAATTGAACAAATCTCCATGGATACAATCTCTTTACCACTATACACTATTTTAGTGTGTAATATTTAGGGTATTTATTTGTTGGCCTCGACAACCATCAAATTGACTAGTTCACATCAATCTGTACTAGATCCCTTAGTCCTTTACTTGACTCACATCTTCATGTGAACAAGGAATTAGTCTTAATTTCCCAAAGATGAAAATTCTCATTCATCACCCAATGCAAGTCACATGATTCCAAGTTTCTATCCAATTGAAAGTTGGGTGAGGAGAATATTTCCTTATTTGGTAAATTTTTTACACTACCACAAAAGAAAGAATCAAATCCATTCATAATATTGCTAATAATATATAAACACCAAATTTTGATAAATGTTGTTACAAGAAGATATAAACTAAGATAAAATCAAATTTTTATTTATTTATAAAAAAATGTGGAAAAAATATCCTTACAACGCAATTACAAATGAAAACTATGTTACTAAATATCTGTAAGCAAATATATCAAGACTCCTAAGTAGCAGCTCAAAAATCTGATTATTGAACCATGCGATCGGAATCCATCTCTTCACGATTAGACTCGGAATCCAGATCTGAAGCTTGAAATGAAGATGAAATTAATTCACAAACTCTCCTCCTTGATCCTTGCAGCACCCTTGATCTTCTTCTCAAGGAAATGACCTCAAATTAGCCTCTTTCCCTTTCTTGCTCACAAATGACTCTAGGGTTTCTCTCAAGGGATGAATGACACTGATTGGGGGTGTCAAGGAGGCTTTAAGTGACTTTAAATAGGACTAGTCCCAATAAAATTAGGGTTTCCGCCTCCAGTACTGACTTATATAGTCAGCTCCTCGACTCGTCAAGTCCACTCATTAATCCTAGTCATCAGTCGCGACCCTACTCGACGAGTTGAGGCACCAACTCTTCGAGTCCTTCCAAAATTCTCAACTTAAACAATTAAAATAATATACCTGGAAAAATCGAA